CAAGTTTGTAGAAATATACAACCTTCCTAGAATGAATCAAAAAGAGCTAGAAAATCTAAATAGACCGATCAACAGTAAGGAAATTGAAATAGTCATCAAAGACCTCTCAAGAAGTAAAAGTCCAAGACCAAATGACTTCTCTAATGAATTCTACCAAACATTAAAAGATTTGCCGTGGCTGGTATGGCTTAGTGGATTGGGTGTGGGTCTGTGAACCAAAAGTTCACCAGTTCAATTCTCAGGCAGTGCATATGCCTGGCTTACAGGTCAGATCCCTGGTTCGGGGCATGCGAGAGGCAACCAATCGATGTATCTCTCACATATTGATGTTTCTCTCCCTCTCTTTCTCCCTCCCTTCCCTGCTCTCTAAAAATAAATAAATAAAATCCGAAGGAAAAAAAAGATTTAATACCTACCATTCTCAAACTCTTCCAGAAAATTGAAGAGGCAATACTTCCTAACTGATTTTATATGGCCAACATTACCCTGACCCTAGCAAAATCACACAAAACAAAAAATAAAATTATAGATCACTATCTGTGAGGAATACAGATCCTAAACAAAAATCCTAAACAAAATACTAGCAAACTGAATATAACACTACCGTAAAAAGATAAAGTGGGCTTCATTCCAGGAGCACAAGGATAGTTCAACATATGCAAATTGATCAATGTGATATGCTGCATTAACAAAATAAAGGACAAAAAGCATATGATCAATATCAGTAGATTAAAAAGAAACATTTAACAACTTACAATATCCATTTATGATTAAAACATTCAATAAAAGAGGTATAGAAGGTAAGTTCCTCAACATAATGATGGCCATATATGACAAACCCTCAGCTAATATTATACTTAATGATGAAAAACTGAAAGCTTTTTCTCTAAGACCAGGAACAAGACAAGAAAGCCCACTCTCACCACTGTTATTCAACATAGTACTGGAAGTTCTAGCCACAGCAATCAGCAAAAGAAAGAAATAAAAGGCACTCAAATTGGAAATGGAGAAGTAAAATTACCACTCTTTGTAGATGACGTTTCATTACACAGAAAACCCTAAAGACTTCACCAAAAAACTATTAAAGACAATAAACAAATACAGTAAAGTGGCAGGATACAAAATCAATGTACACACACACAAAAAATCCATTGCATTTCTACATACTAACAATAAAATTTCAGGAAAAAAATAAACAATTTCCCTGGCTGGTGTGGCTCAATGGCTTGAGACCCAGCCTGCGAACCAAGGGTTGCTGGTTCAATTTCTAGTCAGTGCACATGCCTGGGTTGCGAGCAAGGTCAGGACCCCAGTAGGGGGGTATGCAAGAGACAACCACACATCAATGTTTCTCTCCCTCTCTTTCTCCTTTCCTTCCCCTCTGTCTAAAATAAATAAATAAAATCATTAAAAAATAAACAATTCCCCTTGCAATTGCAACAAAAAAAAATAAAACACCTAAAAATAACTTAGCAAAGAATATGAAGGACCTATACACTGAAAACTACAAGGCGTATTGAAAGAAACTGAAGACACAAGGAAGAAATGGAAAGATATCCCATGGTCATGGGTTGGAAGAATTAACATAGTTAAAATGTCCATGTTACCCAAAGAAATACACAGATTTAATGCATTTCCCATCAAAATCCCAATGTCTTTTTCAAAGAAATAAAACAAAAAAATCGTCAAATGTGTATGGAACCATAAAAGACCCTGTATAGCCAAAGCAATCCTGAGATAAAAACCAAAGCCAGAGGCATCACACTTTCTGACTTCAAATTATATCACAAAATTACCATAATCAAAATAGTATGATGTTGGCCAAAAAAAAAAAGAAAAGAAAAAAAAGACACACAGACCTATAAATCAGAATTGAGAGCCTAGAAATAAACCCACATGTATACAGGGAATTAATTTTTCACAAAGTGGCCAAAAACATATAATAAAGAAAAGAAAGCCTCTTCAATAAATGCTGTTGGGAAAATTGGAAAGCCACGTGCAAAAGAATAAAACTAGATTGCTGGCCCTGGTCAGGTGGCTCTGTTGCTTGGAGCACTGTCCTGTACACCAAAAGGTTAGAGGGTGATTCCCATTCAGGACACATATCTAGGTTGCGGGTTTGATCCCTGGTTGGGGCAAATATGGGAGGCAATATTGTACATCAATGAGTGTGTGTGCGCCTCTCCAATCCATAAACATATCCTGGGGTGAGGATTAAAAAAATTTTTTTAAAAACAGATTGCTGTTTGTCCCTATGTACAAACATTAGCTCAAAATGGGTTGAAGGCCTAAATATAAGACCTAAAACAATGAATTACATAAAAGGAAACATAGGTACTAAACTTATGAACCGTGGTCTTAGAGAGGATTTTATGAATTTGACTACAAAGGCAAAGGAGGTAAAGGCAAAAATAAATGAGTGGGACTATATCAAACTAAGAAGCTTTTACACTGCTAAAGAAACCCTCAACAAAACAAAAAGGAAACCCACCAAATAAAATATTTTTGTAAACAAGAGCTCTGAAAAATATATAAATAACTCACACAACTCAACAACAACAAAAACAAAACCCAATTTAAAGATAGGCGGAGGACCTAAACAGACCCTTCTCCCAAGAGGACATACGAATGGCCAACAGATATATGAAAAGATGCTCAACTTCACTATTAGGAAAGTGCAAATCAAAACCACAATGAGATAATCACCTCACACCTGTTAGAATAGCTATTATCAACAAAATAAGTGTTAGAGAGGTAGTGGAGAAAAAGGAACTCTCATTCATTGCTGGTAGGAATGTAAACTGGTACAGCCATTATGGAAAACAGTATGGAGACTTCTCAAAGAAGAGTTACCATATGGCACAGCAACCCCTCTTTGGGTGTTTATCTGATAAATTTGAAAACATTTATTCTTAAAGATATATTCACCCCTATGTTCACTGCACTATTAATCACAGTGGCCAAGGTATGGAAACAACCTAAGTGTCCTTTGATGTATGACTGGATAAAGAAGATGTGGTACATATACACAATGAAATTTGACTCTCATACAAAAGGATGAAATACTTCCATTTGTGACAACATAGATGGATCTTGAGAGTATCATGCTAAGCAATGTCAGACAGGAAAGGACAAAAAAAATATGATTTCACTCATATGTAAGATATAACACAGAAAGTAACAAATGAACAAAACAAACAAAAAAACTGATAGACACAGACAGCAGTATGGTGGTTACCAGAGGGAAGGAGGTGTGGGAAGACGAAGAGGGTAAAGGGAGTCAAATATAAGTTGACAAAAAGAGACTTGAATTTGGTTGGTAAACACACGACACAATACATAGATGATGTGTTTTAGAACTGTACTCTTGAAACATGTAGTATTATTAACCAAAGTCATGCCAATAAATCTAACTTTTAAAAAATGAGTAACACAATAGTCAGTCTTATGGCTATCAGATAACTCAGAAAGAACCTTTAACTCATGATTCCCACTCTCCAACTTTACCCATAACTAAATTTAACCACTTCCGTAAGAACTCTCCCTTGAGAAATGGAAAGAACTTTTCATGCATATTATTAAATCTCTTAGATGTCCTAAAAAATAGAACATACTCTGCTCTTATCCAGTTTCTCTTAGGATGTTGAATGGTTCGACCATTTGTCACAACCATCACTCAATGCATATGCACACCACAAGATACATGAGGATTTCTGCCATTCCAGTTGGTCTCCCACTGTGTTACAGGAGATAGAAATGTTAATCACAAGAGCAATAGCAGTTAAACTGAAATAATATAAATAAAAGAAAATACAAAACTCTAAATGGAAAGACTCATTTTCAATTCCTGGCCAACCCACTTAGTAGTGGTGTGACCTTGGGCAAGTCCCTTAACCTTTCCCCATCTGTTGTGAAAGCTGAATAATCATATGAGAGCACCTCATAAGCTGAAAGCACTATATTAATATAAGAATTATATAAAATTATAGCTAAATGTATAATAGTTTAGAAGTTGCTGGCACTAAAGTTGGGAAGAATGATAATTTAGGTCTAAATCAACTTATATTAGGAGAGCCCAGCATACACAGAGGCCAGGTGACACTCACTTCCTTGGAAGAAGTGTTGCTATCATAGACAATGAGACACAGCACAATCTCTCTCAAGTAATTATTTAATTATCCATTAATTACATAAGTCCCTTAGGAAAATTTAAGCCTGATAGAGATGCATTATATAGCTAACGATACAAATAATGCATGCAGGAAATAAAATACAGCCAGATTTAATATTAGATTTTATTTATATCTTACTACAAAAAGTAATTATTTATTAATTTGAAACAGGTCCTTGATTACTGATGCTAGGGGTTTAAAATGTTAGGAAAACCCTGAATTGGCCAAGAAATGAAGTAAATGTTGATTCATATTCTTAAAGACAATTAATCACAACAAAAAACCTACATAGCCCAGTATGGCATGGCACAGTTGGCTCGGTGTTGTCCTGAAGAGCGAAAGGTTGCCAGTTTGATTCCCAGTCAGGGCACATGCCCAGGTTGCAGGTTCAGTCCCTGGTCGGCAGGGCACATAGGAGAGGCAACCAATTGATGTTTCCCTCCCTCTCTTTCTCCCTCCCTTCCTCTCCCTCTAAAAATAAATAAATGAAATCTTTACAAAAATAAAAAATAAATAAAATCTTTTAAGTCTACTAAAAAAAAAAAAGTGCAAAAGTGCTTGAATTCAGTGTTCTATTTTTAAGCCTGGAGAAAATACTCAAAGAAGCATGTTAGAAGAGTTCTCTGCTGGAACAAAATGCTAAGAAGCAATATTCTACAAACATCACAGATGTATAACAGTGGTAGGTTAATTCAAATGTCAGTTAAAACTTTGAGCCATCACTAATTTCCCGAACCCAAAAAGCACATGCCTAGCATAGTTAAAAAGACAAACTTTTAAAATAAATGTCAAGTAAATTATTTAATCCTCAAAAAACTCAATACTCACAGATAATGATCAGGATCAAATTTGGCCATCTCAGCTGCCAGGCGTTTCTGCCTTCGTTCAGCTGCAGGAGTAAAATCTGGATCCTTAATATCGATGACATCACTGAATTCATCCTAAGGATATCAAGAAAGAATAATTGCTATTTCTTATTTTAGCACTCACAAATCTAATTTTTCACAAAATGCCAAAACAGAGGAAGACTCTAACTGATCAGTAAGTCACAATGCTACCTGTGACATTTAGATACAAATCCAGCAAGTGTTTGTTAAACATCTACTACTAGCCAGGCCCTGTTGGAAATTTTAACTTAAATTACCTCATTTAATCCTTACAGCAAACCTTTTAAAATATATTTAAGCTATAGAAGTTTAACATAAAAAAACAGAAGAGAATAAAGCCCCGCAAGCAAGCAGGAACATTTAATTGTCCCTTATTACCCCATTTACTCCTACAGATTTGAAAGTTATTAAAAGTATGTTGAAATAAATTTCTAGACTCTAGATGGAGCTATTCCTACCCTGGGTGCCATGGCAGCACACCAACACTTAAATGGAAACTTTCGTGCCCCTATAAATGCTCTACTTGACTAGAAATGCAGAGTATTCATTCAGTCAGGCAATCCTCAAACACCAAGTCAACTCTGCACTCTGCTTAGTTTCTTATTCCTTCTAACCTCAAACAAGGTTGACTATGTAGCCCCCCACCAATAAGTTATTTTCTGTTTTTCACTTCTCCAAATGAAGACTGCTTTATGAAGTGTTAAAGTTGTTTGTATCACTTAAATTGTCTTCTTTAATAATTTTTAACACACAAAATGGTTTGAATATCAGACATCTATACATAGACTTTCCTTTTGTTTCTTCCTATGGTCTAGCTCAGCACTACATAAAACTTACACACAAAACTATACATTCTACTTTATGAGCAGATTTATGAATTTTTAAGCACAATTTTAATGTATAGATTTTCCATCTGAAAAGTTAAAAATCAAATCCTAAGTAATATTCAACTTTACTGTAATCACTTTCATCTAGATTTATACATATTGATACATAGCATGTTTCCAAAGGCAAATCCTACAGAAAACAGGCAGATAAGGGAAACTGCCTACAATACCATATGGTCTTTTCTCTTTTCATCAGAACTGTGAGGTAAAGAAACCCATACCACACAAAATATTTTAAAACTATAACTTTTTTCTGTCTCCAACCTCCCATTTCCACTACCAACCCCAAGTACAGAAATTAGAAAAAGCTTAAAGAATATTAGTGAAAATAAATCAAGGGAAGTAATTTGGTAGAGAGTTGTAGAGCAAACTATTAAATCAGATTTGCAGGTGGAATGACAGGTTAGTGACTAATAATCAGGCTTCAAGTCCACAGTTGTAATGCAAAATCGCTACAGTGAAATGAGCTATGCTTCATTAGCTAGGGAGAAACTAGTGTGCAGACTCTCCACATAATCAAAATTTCTGCATGATTAAAAAAATCTCTCATCCCTACCCCAATCCATTTAGCTTCAGTAGTACCTACAACATTTAATCTAAGCACATTCTAATACAATATAAGGACCCAGGGACCTTTTTGGAAGTTATATCCAGAACATCTTAATACTTCTAAACAAACATTCTGAGCAAAAACCAGATTACTGGCTGTCCCCAAACTTAATAAAAATGTATATTCAAAAAGCTCTTTTGCAATTTACTTTCTAAAAACTTAGAATGTATTTTGCTATAGAAATACTACTATAAATAGTTAGATTCTTAGGGCAACCCACAAATTTATTCAACTAATAATAATAGTACTCGAAATAGAGTACTCAAGATAAACTATTTAATGAGCACCCAGCAATGTTTCCATAGGAAAATACTTTCAAAGATCCAGTTTAACCCCCCTAGAAATATCTCTTCCCAAGGAATGCAACCTAGCATCTTCCTCTCTTCCTAACCTTCCTCACCTGCTAAAATTAGCTCTTCCAGCCATAGAGCATGAAATGGCATTGATGCAGGCCATGGGGGAGGTAAGTTATATGGTACCTGCAGGACTTACCTCAGCTAGATGAATACTATGAAGGCCGTTTCCTGCCCATTGATCCCACATCCCTCTCCCCAGAATTCCTGAGTCACCACTTTCTTTGCTTATACTAGCCCCAAGGAGTTCCCTGCGCACGCACACACACACTCTTCTGAAGCAACCTGATGAAGTAGAAAAAGCATGACTCTGGAGTTAGACAAACCTGGATCTTTAAATTTTTATTTATTTATTTGTTTGTTTGTTTGTTTTTATTGAATGTATTGGAGTGACATTGATTAATGGGGTCAAATAGGTTTCAAGTATACATTTCTATATCTGTATATATTGCATTGTGTGCCTACCACCCAAAATCAAACCATCTTCTGTCACCATATATTTTGCCCTCTACACTCCACCTCCCCAATTTTTTTATTTTTAATTTTTTAATTTAAGTATAGTTGGTATACAATCTTATATTATTGGTTGTACTGGTTTCAGATGTAAATATAGTGATACAACATTTTTATACCTTACAATGTGGTAATCCCAATAATTCTAGTAATCATCTGTCACCATGCTAACTTATTATTGACTATACTCCCCCTTACCTTTTCCACCCATCTTCCCACCCCTTCCCCTCTGGTAACCATCTCTTTGGCCTCTTTTTACATGAGTCAAACAGAGAATAATAAATAACATATGGCTTCACTTATATGTGGGATCTGAAAAAACAAAACAAAAACAGACAAACCTGACTTTAAAACCCAGCTCCAGTCTAACTATACAACCCCTCTGAACCTCTCAGCTTCCTTACTATAAACACGAGTCTAGTGATTCCATCACAGGATGGGTATTAGTTTCCTCCTGCTGTTATAAGAAATTACAAAACACTGAGTGGCTTAACACAACACATATTTTTTCTCTGATAGTTCTGAAGATCGGAAGTCCAAATTCTGGTTCCTTTTTGGCAGTTCCAGGGGAGAATCTGTTCTTTGCCTTTCCCATGTTAGAAGCAGGCTGTGCTCATCCTGGGCTCATTGTCCCACATCACAATGCCTTTCCTCCCTCAGCTTCCGTCATCACTTGGCCTTCTCTTTTTTCACTGTTATTCTCTTACTTCCCTCTTATAAGGATCATGTGATTAGACTGGGTCCACCTGGATAGTCCAGGATGATCTCCCCATCTAAAGACCTTTAATTTAATCAGAGCTGCAAAGCCCTTTTGCCATGTAAGGTAACAACATATTTACACGTTCTTGGGATTATCATGTGGACATTTGGGAATGGTGGATGCAGATCATTCTGTCTACCACAGGCTATTGTGAGGATTCAATGAAATTATGTACAGGGCTTGATACATGATACGTTCAATAACGCCAAGTTTCTTTTCTCTCTGTCTCCCTATCTTACTGCTGTTCCTGGTTACTGGTTGACTTCTTACTGAGAGTCAGCCAGTAGGGAGTCCTATCCTCCCTCTCCTTAAGTTTCCTCACTTACTAATAGCAATAAAAAAGAAAAAAAATTGGGATTAAAATGTCCCAATTCATTATGTCACCTGGACTAGATATAACATCATAAATAGTATATAATCTGTGAGTCTTTATAGATAAGTCTACAATTCAGAGGATAAATGGATTAAAGTGGCCCTGGGCATTTTAAAACACTAATAGTACTGAGAATAAACTCAGATTTTTACCACATGACTCAAAGCTCTGTATAATCAAGCCCATCATTCTCTTCAAACTCATCTCCTATTTTCCCCCTTTGCTCAAATACGCCTAAGCTACATACCAGACTTATTTCCATTTCTGGAACTCCAAGCTCCTGCATTTACAGTTAAGTATCTTTCTCATCATTATTCAGTTCAAATTTGACTTTCTCAAAGGGGCCATCTCTAGATACCCTAGTTAAAGTAGTTAGCACCCTGCGGTTTCTCACATCACCCATTCTTTTTGTTCACTTGTCACTTTTTGAAATTATCTTGCTTATTTGTTGTTTTCATGATTACAGTCTATTTCTCCAATAGAATATTCCATGAGGGCAAGGGTCTGGCCTATCTTCCTTCTCATGATAGCCCCAGTATTAAATCATTCATCCAGCAAATAATTCATGAGGGCCTTCTCTGGTTTATAATGCTGAAGATCCAGAAATAAAAATGTAGACAAGATCCCTGTCCTCATGGGATAAATGGTAAGAAAGCAGTCATCCTTTCTTCCTTTCTCCTCCTCTAGCCCCTTGTCTCCAGACTCAGGACCTCCATATGCAGCTATGTGACTGATGCCCAACAGAACGTTAATGCCCACAGCAATGCCAGCCAGGCTTGTCCTATGCACAATCATATGCAGTGGCCCTGTTCAAACGAGACCCTCAAGAAAAATTGGAACAAATGGAAATTCAAGTAAAGTTAGCTTATGCTAGAGAAATCTAAGGCATCAATCAACCAGAGGGAAAGAAGAAAAGAGGATGAGATATGTTAAACTACAGCAAGTCAAAGGTGATTTAAAAAAAAAAAAAAAAAAGGATTTCCATGGCCACTGTAATTAAAAGTAGTTAAAGATGGGCACTGCCAAGGAAAGGATGTGCAGGGTTTAAGTCAGGCTTATGTAAGTTTCAGCATAGTTAACGCAGTGACTATCCAGAGAGATGAAGAACCTTGTGACATCTGGCCCGTGGATCTCCTGAAAACAATGTCCCCAGGTCACCAGTGTAGCCAAGGGAAGGACAGGGACAGCAAGCAGAGTCCTGAGCTGCTGGCAGCAGCAGTCCTGGGACATAGCTGGGTTGGCAAGCAGAGACTCTAGGACTGTTGTTGCTGGCAGCTGACACCACCAGGAGCTGTAATGAAGCCCTGACTTTCGGCAGACAAGGCGATTTTCCAAAGGCACCCTGGTGGCTGGCAGCAATTTCAGAAAGGAAAGAAAGATGGGGTTGTGGGGGGAGGGGACAGAAGGGAAGAATGCTGAAAGAGAATTTGTTTCAGCAACAATATTATTTTCTTCTCATCAGTATAAAATACAAAGTTCACAAGCAAACCCTGTGTAAATAGTTGGAGGGAAAAAGAAAAAAGAAAACCAGGAAAGACTCTACAGCCCCCCATAAAGA